AAGGCTATTGCTTAACGCATTGTAAGCCGCCCTGAGTCTCCGGAGAAGGGCGGCATAGAAATCGAATCAATCAATCAATCAATCAATGAATAAATAAATAAATAAATAAAGCTAGCAGGGGACTTTAAATTCATTTCGAGTCCCGAAAGGTGCTTTTTTTCAGGAGGCAACTGGACTTCCTTGTGTTTTGGTTTCTTTTGAAAGAAAAAAAAAATAACAGCCAGTCTGCAAGGAATATAAATCCTTCCTGTTCCCCGCTATATCCTGTCCAGAGCTGAAGAAGCTTCTGGGATGAGAAGCGAAAAGTCTTCAAAGGAAAAGAAAAGAAAAAAAACACTCCAGAAAGTCCAGTTGCCTCCTGAAAAAAAGCCCCTTTGGGACAACTGTGACCTGGATGACAGAGAATCTCTACAGACATTCATTTAAAAGACAATAGAATAGACTAACAGAAGGGAGGGACCTTGGAGGTCTTCTAGTCCAACCCCCTGCTAAGCAAGAAAACCCTATATGTCAGCACTTCAAGCTGCATTTACTCTAGTGCTGACATAAGAAGGAGGAGCGGCGGCGTCTGGAAAGGGACGTTTGACTTTTCACCTACTTATTTTCCCTGGAGATAATATCCCCTAGGAGATGGGATGGGAGGGGGGAAATTCCTTTGAGCTGGAGCAGTAGATTAGGGGTAGAATGACTTGGAAAATGGCCAATGAGTGCAGGGGAGTGGGGAACGGAAAGGGAGGGTTTTGGGTCTGGAAGTCAGTGTTGGCTTAGATGAAGTCGGATTTAGAATGTCGTGCTTAATAAATAGGAGTTTTTCTTCAAAGACTCTGTTTGAAATGCAATTTATTTGAGATGACCTCGAAACCTGACACTATATTCATTTCAGACAAAATGGTTATCCAACCTCTTCTTAAAAACTTCCAGTGTTGGAGCATTCACAACTTCTGGTGGCAAGTCGTTCCACCGGTTAATTGTTCTCACTGTCAGGAAATTTCTCCTTAATTCCAGGTTGCTTCTCTCCTTGATTAGTTTCCATCCATCGTTTCTCATCTTGCCTTCTAGTGCTTTGGAGAATAATTTGACACACACCCCTCTTCTTTGTGGCAGCCCCTCAAATACTGGAATACGGCCTCTGGACTTCAACTCCCAGAATTCCCTAGCTTGATTCCCTCTTCTTTGTGGCAGCCCCTAAGAGATTGGAAGGCTGCTGTCATGTCTCCCCCAATCCTTTTCATCAAACTTGACGTAGCCAGTTCCTGCAACCGTTCTTCATATGTTTTAGCCCAGTGATGGCTAACCTTTTTGCCATCGTGTGCCAGGAAGGGGGGAGTGGGGGAGGTTTGCATGCACACGGGCCCACACCCATAATTCTATGCGCCCTGCCCTGCACATGCGCGCGCAACCCACTCCTGGCACGCGATGGCCCGATAGGCCCATTTTTCTTTGTCACCTGGCTCCAGATCCTCTCTATGCATCTGGGGAGGGCGAAAACAGCCTTCCCCACCCACTCCAGGCCCTCCGGAGGCAGGAAACAGCCTGTTTCCCTACCTCTGGTGGGCCCAAAAGGCCTGAAAATCAGGTGGCCGGCACGCACATGCACGCCAGAGCTGAGCTGGCGTGCCCACTGATATGGCTACACGTGCCACCTGTGGCACCCGTGCCATAGGTTCGCCATCATGGTTTTAGCCTCCAGTCCCCCAATCATTGGGTTGCTTCTACTTTAGATAACAAGAATCCCCCTCCCTCCCCCAGATCTAGGGTAAGTGCAAATAGCACCAACGAAGCAGCAGGGAAGAACGCAAAACTGGCCCATTTTTTTTCCACCGGGCACCAGGGCTTGGAAATGGGCCGTGGTGTTCCCCCTTATCTATTGCTTCCTCATTCCAGAGATGCACGCCTGCCTCGATTCGGCCAGGATGCTGGTGGAGGCTGAGTCACCCAAAAGGCCCCACCCGCAGGTTGGCCCGGCTCTGTGAGAACTAGGCTACCGTTCGCGCTGGGCCCTGCCAAGCCGGGCTCTTGCGCCACCGCTCAAGGAATGTGACTGCAGGCGGGCACCACCCTGCTGACGGCTGCGTAACCACAACTATTCAGACACCATCGGCTTTCTAGGAGAATGAAAGCCGGGTGCTTATTTATTTCTTACCCCCCCCTTTTTTTAAAGGGACAGGGCACTCCATCCCGTGGAGAGCCTTTATACCAGGGGTGAAATCCAGCAGGTTCGGGAGAACCGGTAGCGGAAATTTTGAGTAGTTCGGAGAACCAGCAAATACCACCTCTGGCTGGCCCCAGGAGTGGGGAGGTAATGGGGATTTTTTTTTATTTATTTATTTAATTAATTAATTTGTATACCGCCCTTCTCCAACAGGACTCAGGGCGGTGAACAGCCACGGTAAAAACACAACATATAAAATTTAAAAACAATACTACAATTTTTCCAGTATCCGTCCCCTGGAGTGGGGTGGGAATGGAGATTTTGCAATGTCCTTCCCCTGGAGTGGGGTGGGAATGGAGATTTTGCAATATGTTTCCCCCGGAGTGGGCTGGGAATGGAGATTTTGCAATATCCTTCCCCCAGGAGTAGGGAGGGAATGGAGATTTTGCAATATGCTTCCCACAAGAGTGGGGAGGGAGTGGGGATTTTGCAATGTCCTTCCCCTGGAGTGGGGTGGGAATGGAGATTTTTCAGTATCCTTCCCCCAGGAGTAGGGAAGGAATGGGGATTTTGCAGTATCCTTCCCCTGGAGTGTGGTGGGAATGGAGATTTTGCAATATGCTTCCCCCAGGAGTGAGGAGGGAGTGGGGATTTTGCAGTATCCTTTCTCTGGAGCGGGGTGGGAATGGAGATTTTGCAGTATCCTTCCCCCAGGAGTGGGGTGGGAATAAAGATTTTGCAGTATCCTTCCCCTGGAGTAGGGTGGGAATGGAGATTTTGCAATATCCTTCCCCCAGGAGTAGGGAGGGAATGGGGATTTTGCAGTATCCTTCCCCTGGAGTGGGGTGGGAATGGAGATTTTGCAATATGCTTCCCACAGGAGTGGGGAGGGAGTAGGGATTTTGCAAAGTCCTTCCCCTGGAGTGGGGTGGGAATGGAGATTTTGCAGTATCCTTCCCCTGGAGTGGGGTGGGAATGGAGATTTTGCAGTATCCTTCCCCTAGAGTGGGGTGGGAATAGAGATTTTGCAATATCCTTATCCTGGAGTAGGGTGGGAATGGGGATTTTGCAGTATCCTTCCCCTGCCATGCCCACCAAGCCACACCATTCCCACCAAGCCACAGCCACAAGACCGGTGGTAAAAAAAAATTGGATTTCACCACTGCTTTGTACCCTCCTGCGAGGGCACCCGCGTGCCAAAATGTGCCAGCGCACACTGGAAGAACCGGCTGAGATGGGATCAGTGCGAAATGCTCCTGAAAATTCAGCTGGGCGAGGCTGAAAATAAAATAAACCGGAACAGCCCGGTTTAAGATTTCATCGCTTGTTATAAAAACCAAAGTGGATTTTTGAAGATTTATCTCCGTGATATTCAATCTCATCTACTCCTTATTCTTATAAGGAGGTTTTTAAAACAGAGATGTTTTCAAGGGGAGGGAGAAGGGGGTTGGATAGATGTCCTCTTAGGTCCCTCCCTAGAATCCCTCTAGGAGTCTACTGATTTTAAGATCCATTATCTTTGGCTGCTCAGAACACCGTATATAAATCCTGAAAGCTGCAAGGCGGCACCGATTATGTCATTCCATTAAAAAGCCAAAGGCAACTTAGGAAAAACAAAAATTTTCCCCTTGCAATCTGTATATTTATTTACTTACTTTATTTATTAAATTTCTAGGCTGACCATTTCGCTGACAATTTCACTGACCATTTCATTGCAATTCTATGCTTTCCAAAGTTTGGGAAATACAGCAATAGCACTTAGACCACTTCACAATGCTTTACCGCCCTCTCTAAGCAGTTTATTGCCCCCAACAATCTGGGTCCTCATTTTACCGACCTCGGAAGGAGGGAAGGCTGAGTCAACCTTGATCCAGTTGGGATCGAACTGTTGGCAGTCGGCAGAGTCAGCCTACAATACTGCATTCTAACCACTGTGCCACCACGGCTCGCTCCTTCCTTCCTTCCTTCCTTCCTTCCTTCCTTCCTTCCTTCCTTCCTTCCTCCCTCCCTCCCTCCCTCCCTCCCTCCCTCCCTTTGCAATAGTACGTAGACTTCTATACAATCTGGGTCCTCATTTTACCAACCTCAGAAGGACGGGAGGCTGAGTCAACCTTGAGCCAGTCAGTCAGGATCGAACTCCTGGCAGTGGGCAGTTAGCCTGCAATACTGCATTCTAACCACTGGGAGGGAGGGAGGGAGGGAGGGAGGGAGGGAGGGAAGGAAGGAAGGAAGGAAGGAAGGAAGGAAGGAAGGAAGGAAGGAAGGAAGGAAGGAAGGGCACTTAAGAGTTATATACCACTTTACAATGCTTTTACAGCCCTCTCTAAGCAGTTTACAGAGTCAGCCTCTTGCCCCCAACAATCTGGGTCCTCATTTGACCCACCTCGGAAGGATGGAAGGCTGAGTCAACCTTGAGCCAGTCAATCAGGATTGAACTCCTGGCAGTGGAAAAGAGTCAGCCTGCAATACTGCATTTTAACCACTGGGAAGGAAGGAAGGAAGGAAGGAAGGAAGGAAGGAAGGAAGGAAGGGAGGGAGGGAGGGAGGGAGGGAGGGAGGGAGGGTCAGAGTCAGCCCTATTGCCCCCAGCAATCTGGGTCCTCCTATTACCCACCTCGAAAGGATGGGAGGCTGAGTCAACCTTGAGCCTGGTGAGATTTGAACCGCCAAATTGCAGGCAGCCAGCAGAAGCAGCCTGCAGTACTGCACTCTCACCACTGCGCCACCGAGGCTCAAATACATTACTTCTTGTCCACAAACAAAGGACAGCCACCAGAAATCCATATATATATATATATTTATCAGCCCAAACGAGAAAAGGAAAATACCAGCAAGGAATTTGTCTTACCTTGAAGTAGAGGCCATTCCGTTCCTCAGAGACAATAACCAGGGTAGAAGGATAGAGCACCAACAGGCGATGATGTTGTTCCTGTTGGTATCAAAAAAAAACTTGTTTCATATAAATAAGGCACACCATCTGCATACCTATTACTTGGGGAAACTTTACGCAAGAAGAGGCCAAAAAAAAAGAGGGGAGGATTATTTACAGTTGGGCACACACAGCCATCCAGATGTTTAGAGTGGATTTGGCAATTTTTGCCCACCTATCGTGTCCTTCCGAAGGACCTGGGATAGGCATATGTTGTTTAATAAGAATATTATTATTAGTATTGGCTGCATAGTCAGCTAGATGTTTAGACTGGATTTGTTTACTTATGGATTTATTATTATTATTATTTTCTTGTTCAATTAAAAATTCAGAAATAGATATAGGTATGATATGGGATGGGATGGGATGAAATAGAATAGAATAGGATAGGATAGAATAGAATAGAATAGAATAGAATAGAATGGAATGGAATAGAATAGAATAGAATAGAATAGAATAGAATAGAATAGAATAGAATAGAATAGAATAGAATAGAATAGAATAGAATAGAATAGAACAGAACAGAACAGAACAGAACAGAACAGAACAGAACGCAGAATGGAGTGGAATGGAATGGAACAGAACAGAGAGGGATGGGATGGGACAGGACAGGACAGAACAGAACGTGGAATGGAATGGAAAGGAATGGAATGGAACAGAAAGGGATGGAACAGGACGGGACCGGACGGGACAGGACAAGACAAGACAGAATACAGAATGGAACGGAACGGAACAGAACAGAACAGAATGCAGAACGGAAGAGAGAGGGACTGGACAGGACAGAATACAGAATGGAACGGAACAGAACAGAACAGAACAAAACGCACAATGGAACGGAACGAAATAGAGAGGGACGGGATGGGACAAGACAATATGGAACGGAACGGAACGGAACGGAACGGAACGGAACGGAACGGAACGGAACAGAACAGAACAGAACAGAACAGAACAGAACAGAACAGAACAGGAGGTATAGATATCTCAGCTATAGTTTTTTCCGAAAAGAAAATGGCATTTCTGTCCCTCCGTCCCGCTTGAGATTCATTCATTCCCTCCCAGGGGAAGCCACCACCCCCCCCCTCCGTCCCCCCCCTCTCCCAATCCTCCTCCTACGAAAGCTGCTGCACCTGGAAAGGTAAATGCTGCAACTTGACTTTGGAGACGCAGAGGATGTCGCCCAGGGACTTGCGCTGGGTGCCCTTCCATTCTTGCACGTGGGCGTTTTGCATCGACCACCGCAGCTGCTCCTTGCCCAGCGGGCCCTGCGTCCAGGCCCTCTAAAAGAGGGGAGAGCAAAATCTCATCATCACAGCTACCGTCCCACCCCTCCCCTTCCCCGCTTAGAATAACGTTATCGTCGCTTTGAATGTACACAAATCGGCAAACATGAAAACGACGCTTCGTGGCACGCAACTTCCAGGGCGCCCACCAGTGGGAAAGGCCGTGCCGAAAAAAGCCAGCCGTGCCGGTTTCCACCGCCAGCTGAACTTTTGGCAAAGGAAGGAATAGAAGGGCCTTGCGTTGTATGTATGGCGTCCGTCGGTCGAGCCGAGCTGTCAAAAGCCAGACTGGAATGGCTGATCCGGCCTCTTTCCTCCCTCCTTCAAGGTCTCTTCCTCATCCCAGCAAAATGACTCACGCTGGGAGGCCGAAAGCCGTAAACACGGAGGAGGGGGGCGTGGAGTTTCCCAGGATGCAGAGAAAGCTTGCTGGAGATTTTTAGGGGGAGGCAGACCCAGAGGGGGGAGATCTGCCTATGGGACAGGGGGTCAGAGAGGGGGATATCCCCCCATTTGCCTCTATGCTCTTGGACATGCTATTCGACTTTCCCATCAATTCCTTCCTTCCTTCGTCCTGCCCTCCTCTCTCTTCCCTTCTATCCTTCTTCCCTCCCTCCCTCCCTCCCTCCCTAACCCTTCCTTCCTTCTGCCCTTCTCCCCTCCCTCCCTCCCTCCCTTCCTTCATTCTTCCCTCCCTCCCTCTCTCCTTGCCTTCTATCCTTCCCTTCCTCCCTTCTTCCCTTCCTTCTCCCTTCCCTCCCTCCACCTTTCCTTTTTTCTTCTTCCTCCCTCCCTCCCTAACCCCTTCCTTCCTCCCTCCCTTCATTCATTCTTCCCTCCCTCCTTGCCTTCTATCCTTCTTCCATCCCTTCTTTCCTTCCTTCCCTCCCTTCACCTTTCCTTTTTTCTTCTTCCTCCCTCCCTAACCCCTTCCTTCCTTCCTCCCTCCCTCCCTCCCTTCTATGCGTCTTCCCTCCTTTCCTTCTTTCCTTCCTTCTTCCTTCCCTCCACCTTTCCTTTTTTTCTTCTTCCTCCCTCCCTCCCTAACCCCTTCCCTCCTTCCCTCCCTCCCTCTCTTCTCCTTCTTCCCTTCCTCCCATCCTCCCTCTTTCCCATCCTTCTACTCTCCTTTCTCTTCCATCCTCCCTCCCTCCCTCTTTAACCTAGACTGAGGGCACACCGCTTGGCCCAACCATGCCATGATCTTTTGCAGAGGGAGGCGAGCTCTGGAATTGGCGCCATCATTTGGGCTCCACCTCTAGATCTTCACCTGAGTCTCCGGGGGCAAATCCGGGCGTCCTCCACTCAAATTGATCTGCTTCTCCAGGTGGTAGAGCCAGTGCTTCAGTTCTGCTTGGCTGGGGCAGTAGATGGTCAGTGGGGAGAGCAGGGGGCCTAGGAGAGCAAGAGAGGCGTTGAGTTCATTTGCACACCTGAGTTTTTGCACAGATTTTTTTTTTTTTGCAAAGGAACAAATCCAGTGATGAAATGCTACCAGTTTGTGCAAACTGGTAGCGGCGGCGGTGGGTGGTTCGGCGAACTGGTAGTGGCAGCAGAATGAAGCTCCGCCCACCCGCCCGGATGTCATTACTTCCTGGTTTTAACCAGGAAGCAACCTGTTTTTGACCCTCTGCGCACGGGCAGAGGGTCCAAAATTGCATGTCACAACGGCACGCACCGGTAGGGAAGGTAAGTAGATTTCACCCCTGAACAAACCGACTCAGCGCGCATCCTGATAGCTTAAAAAAAAATAATAATGAATTGTTCTTAGGAAGGTCACAGAAAGGGAGTCCTTGTCCCTGCAACGGGAAGGCAAATACGGCCGAATAATAATTCGCCTTATTAATTATTTCCCTGCCTATAGAAAACCAGCCCTTCAGGACAAAATATCAACTGCTTTTCCTGCTGAAATGCTGTGCTGTCCTTTTTTTAAAGCTTTATTTAAAGCTTCAGTGGACACAGTTTGAGAAAGACTCAACTTTGGAGCCAAAGAATTTAGCAAAGTTGCCCTATCGCCCCTGAAGTTGTTTTTCCCTCCCCCATCTCTGTGTTGACACAACTTTACCTTGTTCTTGAAACTCCGTTTATTTTTACTCACAGTGTCCAAACAACCCTTTGGGCTCTGCTTGGTGCCTGTATTCAGCAATCCAAATGGCAGTGGTGAAATCCAAATTTTTTTACTACCGGTTCTGTGGGCGTGGCTTGGTGGGCGTGGCATGGCTTGGTGGGTGTGTCGGGGAAGGATACTGCAAAATCTCCATTCCCTCCCCACTCCAGGGGGAAGGATACTGCAAAGAGCCTTGGTAGTACAGTGGTCTAAGGCACCCTGTTATTAAGACCAGCTGCCTGCAATTACTGCAGGTTCGAATCTCGCCAAGGCTCAAGGTTGACTCAGCCTTCCGTCCTTTCTAAGGTAGGTAAATTTTTTAACATCTCAAAATAATTCCTCATACATCCAAGGCTCCCTATTGCCAATTGAACAGATTGCTAAGACTTTTTAAAATGATGTCACGCTTAATGAGAACTTAAAATCCAGATAGTCTCTTTTTATTTTCTTTTTTTTTTTCCCAAAAAATTTAAAAAAATTTTTTTTTAAACATAAAACATAAAATAGTCTCTTTTTATTTTCAAGATAGAGACGCTGCAACAGTCCTATAGGTGTGAAAAGCGGTCATCGCTTGCATCTTTCAGTGTTGTTGTAGTTTTGAATGGTCACTAAATGAACTGTTGCAAGTCAAGGACTACCTATATTTGACTTTTCTTTTTTTTTCTTTTTTTTCTTTGACTTTTTTTCCCTTCTTTTTTTTCTTTTTTTGAGCTGCTGTTAGGGAAAGCTATCGTTCTCCTTCAAGGTTGCTTCCTGGGCAAGCTTCCAAGAAGCCAGGATGCCTATCAGAGTCAGCTTTTTCCAAGCTGGATCACCTCTTGGTCTCCTTACCCAGCCCCGATGGTAAACATAGGAACTCTGCTCAGCCGCACACCAGTTCATCCCATCGGAGGATTCAGACCTCAGCTCAAACCTTAATCATTTCCTGCCCTGCCCTCTTAATCAAACAAATTACGGTGCTTGGGCTGCCAAGATAAGCCCCAGACTGCCACAAGCCGTCATAACAAGCCATTATCGGCAGAATGAGTACTTTGGCCTGGCAGTGCCCCCGTGTTTCAACACAAACAGAGAATCATTAATTCGCTTCCCTGTTCCGAAGAAGGTTGGGAGAACCTTTTCTCCCACACATTGTGCCAACTTGGGGAAACCGAGGCAGAGAACGGGGTGGTGGGGAAAAGGGTGATATGTATTTCCCACTCGTTGCCTGTTAGAGGCACCCAGAAATTGTCACAACATGGCGTCCTCCTGTTCATTTTTCTGCTGAGGCTGGCAGGCTCTTTCCTCAGCAACCCCATTCAGCCTGTCTTTAATTTCCAGGAAAAAAAAAAAATCAATATTGTTCAAATCAGGGGTGAAATCCAGCAGGTTCTGGAGAACCGGTAGCGGAAATGTTGAGTAGTTCGGAGAACCAGCAAATACCACCTCTGGCTGGCCCCAGAGTGGGGTGGGAATGGAGATTTTGAAATATCCTTCCTCTAGGAGTGGGGAGGGAATGGGGATTTTGCAATATCCTTCCCCTGGAGTGGGGTGGAATGGGGATTTTGCAATATCCTTCCCCTGGAGTGGAGTGGAATGGGGATTTTGCAGTATCCTTCCCCTGAAATGAGGATTCCATTCCCCGCTGTATCCTGTTAGAGCTGAAGAAGCTTCTTGGATGAGAAGCGAAACGTCTTCCGAAGAAGAAAAAAACATGGAAGTCCAGTTGCTTCCTAAATAAATAAGCACCTTTGGTGTTAACCACCAAGCTTATTTGCCTTGATTCCTGGGCTTGAAAATAATTCCTTCTGGACAGGGGTGGGATCCTCCTGGTTTAACAACCAGTTCGGTGATTACGCAATTTGCTGCGCGCGGATACGCAGTTTGAAGAAATCTTCACTTCCCAGTTTCTTCGGAGGAGTAACACAGCTGATCCGCGCGGCAATCCGCTCTACCACGCGAATGAGCTGAGAAGATAAAGGTAGGAAAGTAGAGCGGGCGGGCGGGTGGGCCTATCTGATCCTCAGGATGAACCGGTTCGCTGATCACCCGAACCGGTCTGAACCGTAGAATCCCTCCCCTGCTTCTGGAGGTTTCTCTCACCACATGGGGACAGTTTAAAAAAATAAAATATGGGAGCAAGAAAAAAAAATGTAGATAACACCAAGAAAAATTGGGAACATCTCTCGAGGGCCAAAGATGGACGACATGGCCTCACAAAAACCGAGGTGGGAAAATCGTGCTGGACGAAATAGCAAGATTCTGAGTCACTTTTGCTCGGATTTTGAACTGTCCTACATTGCAAACTGGAGTGGAGCACCTGGGTTGGGTCCTGGTTTTTTTTTACAGGCAGGCGCGGGGGGGGGCTTCAAAATATTTAGCAAGGGGTTCTCTGCCTGGTTGTTGGGTGGGTGTGGCCATGGTGGGCGTGGCCTAGTCAGCCTCCTGCACCACAGCGGAGGGGAGGGCATTTTTGCCCTCCCTGGGCTCCGGAGGCTTTTCTCGAGCCTCCAGGAGGGTGAAAATGGCCTCCCCAGGCTCCGGAGGCCCTCTGGAGGCTGGAAACGGGCCTTCCCGAACTTCCAGTAGGCCCATCATTCACCCTCCCCGAGCCTCCGCGCACGCCCTGCACTTACCTGCATCCAAAACGGGCCGCGTGGGGACTCCAGGGAGGGGAGGGGCGGGGTGGGCATGGCCAATGGGATTTGGGGGTTCGCCGAACTGCCCAGAATCTTAGCTAGAGGTTCTCCCGAACCCCTTCGAACCCTCAGCAGCCCCACCCCTGCAGATAGGGTTTATAAGAAGCTACGGTGGGGCTGATGGAAAGGTCGTGAACTTTTCCCCTTTGCTATTCTAAAAATCCCACCCAATTGCCTTAAGGCCGGTCTGCCGAAAAGAAAGTTTTGTTTTGTTTTTTTCAAACAGCTGGCAGGACCAGGCGGACGGCTGGCCTCTGTTCCAAAGGGCGATGCTATCTCAAACCAGAAGAAAATATTTCCTCTTCACCGCCCCTAGGCAGGTTGTCGATCTTGAGATTTCGGTCTTTTTGTTTTGAATGGGCTCCTCCCCTCCCCCTCCATAATGGAAGGCGTAAAATCTTAAGAAGAAGGTCATTTCTTCATCTTCGTAGCCACACACACACACATATCCCAACCCCAGCGGTTAAGGATTTAAAAAGCTAACCCACACTGAAGATGGTTTTTTAAAAAAGAGCACAAAATGACCTGGTCTGGAAAGATGGAGAAATAAACAGAGATATGGCAGCCAGAAAAGCCAATGCAATCCTAAATTGCATGAACAGAGGGAGTCAATCAAGTTCAAGGGAGATACTCATACCACTCTATAAAGCCTTAGTAAGACCACACCTAGAGTACTGCATCCAGTTTTGGTCACCACACTATAAAAAAAGATGTTGAGACTCTAGAAAGAGTGCAGAGAAGAGCAACAAAGAGGATTAGGGGACTGAAGTGTAACACATATGATGAACAATTTCAGGAACTGGGCAATGCTCCAAAAAAAAATTGTTGGCCAGTACGGCTCTGCAAGCAGTTAAAAGCCTGGTAGACCAGTACCTCTGCTAAAGCCTAAAGAATTGTTTGTCACATGACCATCAAAACACACCCACAAAATAATCCATGCCCACCGAACCGGTAGTAAATATTTTTAGAACCCACCCCTGCTCTGCACATGCGCAAAGCCTTCTCCGCATGCACAGAGAGTAAAAAAACAAGTTACTTCCTGGTTAAAACCAGGAAGTAATGACTTCCGGGCACGTGGGCGCGGCCGCCGCTACTATTTCACCGAACCACCTACTGCCGCCGCTACCAGTTCGCCCGAACTGGTAGCATTTCATCCCTGCTCCACTCTCCTTTTCAAGTAAGATTTCTGGACCCAACATATCTTTGAGCTACTGCTTGCAACTCAGCAATTATTTTAGTCTGTCAAATTCCCCTCCTTTTTTCCTCTCTGTGCTTCCCCTTGTTCTGAATCATGATCCTTGCCGGAAACTGTTTTCCTGGGAGAATAAAACCTGATTCCTTAGTCATCCTGAGAGCTGTGCGTCTTCTGCCGCTATGAATAATAGTTTAAAGGGTGTGACGTTAAGAGCACCGATAAAGATTGTGGATTCTCTTGAATGCCTATGAATGGTGCTCGCTTATGCCAGATGAAAATCTAGAACAGCGGATGATGCTCAAATATTTGGGAAATAGTTGGCAAAGATGTTCAAACATAAATCAGCTAAATGTTGGAAGTGCACCCAGATAAAAGGTAAAGGTTCCCCTCGCACATATGTTATTAGTCGTTCCCGACTCTAGGGGGCGGTGCTCATCTCCGCTTCAAAGCCGAAGAGCCAGCGCTGTCCGAAGACGTCTCCGTGGTCATGTGACCAGCATGACTCAATGCCAAAGGCGCATGGAACGCTGTTCCCTTCCCACCAAAGGTGGTCCCTATTTTTCTACTTGCATTTTTTTTTTACGTGCTTTCGAACTGCTAGGTTGGCAGAAGCTGGGACAAGTCACGGGAGCTCACCCCTGTTACGCGGCGCTAGGGATTCGAACCGCTGAACTGCCGACCTTTCGATCGACAAGCTCAGCGTCTTAGCCCCTGAGCCACCGTGTCCCACTGGATCTTACTATCATATGTGGTGGACATGTGGAGAAGCAAAGAAGTACTGGATAAAAATTAAGACATTTGTCCTCACCTGTAATTTGAAAAGCGTGGAGATCTTCCTGAATTCCGTTTTCATTTTCAAGTTTGGTCAGCTGAAGTTCTATCAAGGGTAGCAAACCCTGCAGGAGGATAAAAAGTGAGTCGTTACCTCCTCATCTCCATTGTCAAATCTTCTTTTATCAGGTTGATTAAGGTATTGGGTATCGAAGTATAGTGTCAGCGTTTCGACGCTGGCATAGAGAGCAGAGGAGAGAGAGAGATAAGCTCTGAACTTTTGCCTGCTAAATCCTTTTGAAGTCGGGTTGTCATGGAAATGAAGGGGGGAGACATTCCTGGGAAATGACGAGACAAGAAGTCTGAAGAATGACTTGGAAGATAGCCAATGAGAAGCAGAGATTTGGGGATTGGAAAGGGAGGGATTGGAGGGCAAAAGGTCAGTCTTGTCCGCATCGAGTCATGATCCGGTGGCTGTGCTCAATTAAAGAAAAGATTTCCTTAAAGATTGGCAGTTTGGAAATTCATTTATTTTGAGATAGCATCGAAGTCTAACATAAAGTTTATTGGCAACGAAAAACTCCTCAGACTAGATCTAAAGATGGATCCGACTTCTGACGAGAAGGCGTCCCAGAGGGCATTATTCAAAGCCAGGTCTACTTTTTTTTTCTAAAACTGGTGGGTTAGGTGGATTGGGACCCGGCCTGCACGGCAAAGATGCAGCTGCGGAAGTGTTAAATTCTAACTTTCAAAAATACCCTTCAAAAGCATCAACAAACAGAAACATTTTGTCCTACGGCCTGTGTCACTGAATGAATCACAAACATGAAACTCCAGTTGTTTTTCGCCCGGCGTGACCTTGGTTTGCCCTTGGACACCTTTAAGGAGGAATTGCAAACACATTTTGGAAGAAAGAAAAAAAAGAGAGAGAGAGGTAAATTGGATCTGGAAGACGGAAGGGATCAGGAGAGCAGGACACAGCCAAATGGGGATCCAGTATTGAGATTAAAAAAAAAGAGAGAGAGAAGAGAAATCGAGAAGATAAAAATGGATCCAGTGGGAAATTAACTGTGCACCAACCCCCCTCTACAACCCATAATTTCTTTCTGCTTCTGTAAGAGAGGCTGACTCAGAAAGCAAACTTCTGATTTGAGGACCTCTGGAGTTTCTGCTCTGAAGCTTCCTCTCGGGGTCATTGCACGGATAAAAATGAATGCCAAGTCGAGTTTCCTGGAAGGTAGAGACCTGTTCTGAGCTAGGCTTCCTTAGAAATTAAACAGCACAAACTTAATCCCGGCAAACCTCTTTAATTCATAGGGCTGTAAATTACTTTCATTTACAGCTTGATAAACAGTCGTTCAGAGGAAGATTATCAACACCCACCTATCTCACGTGGAACGCTGCCAAGAGAGCTAATTTCCAGACGCAGGGCAAGGCCAAACTTGGCACAGAGTCACAAACAGAATTTTCAAATCTTGAATCGGCCAGATGAGCTAATTGCTTCCTGCAAAAAGCTCACGTCCCGTTTGCTTCTCTTTTATGTCTTATGGGAGGGGCCAATCATCTCCAAGCCTTACTCCCAAGTTGACCCTGTTTCCTTAATTGTTCCTGTCTCCTGGCAGCTCTGCGCATGCGCACACTGGGAACAGGCTCCCGCTGTTCTTCTGCCTCACTGATGTCAGATTCCGGAGGCTGCACATAACTATCAGACGGCCTGGCCCACTCTCTGCCTCCGACGCAGAGCCCTCGTCCGAGCCTTCCCCAGACTTCAGGACTCACCCATGTTCCTCCCCAACCTCCTCACTGTCCGAATCTGCTGCCAGCTCTGTCGGCCGCTGGCAGGCCACCACAAGACCAAAAAGAGGGGATGAATCAATAGGGTTGCTCTAAAGCTTGTCTCACAAAGGTTTGTGATGGATTGTTCAGCAGCTTATGGTCCACAACGACTGACTCTGGGGTTTTCTAATGGGAAACGCTAAGAATGGAACCAGGAAACAGAGGTGGTTGTAGTTTCTAATTACCGATCACCAAATCCTCATTTACCTGATACTTGTGTCCGTTGGGGCCGAGCGACTGAAAATAGAGGAACTCTTGAAAAAGCTCCAAATAGCAGTCATTGGCTTCCTGCCGAAGGAAAAAAAAAAAGACATGGAGATTTTTTTTTTTATTCATTTCAGTCGGTCTTCGGGGTGCTTGCGCCGAATAAAGATAAACAAATTGAAAAAGCGGAAGAAAATAATGGGTTGCAAAGGCACAGATCCAGAGGCCTTCAGAAGCTTCGCGCATTGGACATGGGGGAGGGGGTGTGTGTCTCACCTGGCAGTGCTGAAACTTAAATTTGAGTTTGGAATAGTGGATTATTTTTCCCAGGTTCCGTACCACCGTCCTCCTCCGTCCTTTCTTGAATAGGCTGGGGAATCGCTGGTCAAGGTTTTCCTTTTCATTCTCCTGGCTGGCAAAGCTCTGTACCAAAAATGAAAGAAACACTCTTAGAAGAAGGAAGGAAGGAAGGAAGGAAGGAAGGAAGGAAGGAAGGAAGGAGGGAGAGATGAGAAGAAGGAAAGGAAGGAAGGAAGGAAGGAGGGAGGGAGGGAGGGAAGGAAGGAAGGAAGGAAGGAAGGAAGGAAGGAAGGAAGGAAGGAAGGAAGGAAGGAAGGATGGAACAATGGATGGATGGATGGGAGAGATGAGAGGAAGGAAAGGAAGGAAGGAAGGAAGGGATGGATGGATGGATGGATGGAAGGAAGGAGGGAGGGAGGGATGGAACAATGGGTGGATTGATGGGAGAGATGAGAGGAAGGAAAGGAAGGAGGGAGGGAGAAAAGAAAGAAAGAAAGAAAGAGGGAGGGAGGAAGGAATAAATGGAAGGAAGGGAGGGAGGGAGGGATAGATTATGGATGGATGGGAGAGATGAGAGAGAGGAAGGAAGGACGGGATGGATGGATGGGTGGGTGGATGGATGGAAGGAAGGAAGGAAGGAAAGAAGGAAGGAAGGAAGGAAGGAAGAGATGCATTGATTCATTGATGGATGGATCAATGGATGCATGGATGGATGGATGAAAGAGATGAGAGGAAGGAAAGGAAGAGGAAGAAAGGAGGGAGGGAGAAAAGAAAAAGAAAGAAAGAAAGAAAGATGGAGGGAGGGAGGGAGGAAGGAAGGAAGGAAAGAAAGATGGATTGATTGATCGATGGATTGATCAATGGATGCATGGATGGATGGGAGAGATGAGAGGAAGGAAAGGAAGAGGAAGGAAGGAGGGAGGGAGGGAGAAAAGAAAAGAAAGAAAGAAAGGGAGGGAGGGAGGAATAAATGGAAGGAAGGAAGGGAGTGATGGATGGATGGATGGATGGATGGATGGATGGGAGAGATGAGAGAGAGGAAGAAAGGAAGGTTGGATGGATGGAGGGATGGATGGATGGAAGGTAGGAAGGAAGGAAGATGGAAAGAAGGAAGGAAGGGAGGGAGGGAGGGAGGGAAGCGAGAGGTGAGACGAAGGAAGGAATATAAATACATAAATTCTAAATATACTGTACTTCACATTACCAAGATAACCCAGAGGTAAATAATACCCATCTTTGCACAACTCCCATGGCTAAAAACACCATTTCTTTATCGAAAGACTAAAAGACAGAGACGCATCTCCCTTCCCCAGAAACCAGAAACTCTTGAGAAAAGTCATTCTGGCAGAAACTCCTTGCTTGGCACTTCTCATCCTGCCCAGATTCGCCGCCCTGAGGCCATTTTTTTTTCCCAGATCAAAAAGTTGGCAACTCTAAATTCGGCCGAGATGCCGTTCCCCAAAGGTCAAATGTCACGGGAAAAGCCTCTGTTGATGGATCTCTGCGCCAGCTGAAGATTTTAAAGATCTTTATAACGGCATCTTTACCATTTGCCCAACTCTTCAGTTGTTGACTCCTCAACAATAACTTTGAATATATTCTATATTTAAATTAAGGGACAAGGTGGCTCAGTGGCTAAGACGCTGAGTTTCTCGATCGAAAGGTCGGCAGTTCAGCGGTTCGAATCCCTAGTGCCGCATAACGGAGTGAGCTCCCGTGACTTGTCCCAGCTTCTGCCAACCTAGCAGTTCGAAAGCAGGTAAAAAAATGCAAGTAGAAAAAATAGGGACCACCTTTGGTGGGAAGGGAACAGTGTTCTGTGAGCCTTTGGCATTGAGTCGTGCCGGCCACATGACCATGGAGGGGTCTTCGGACAGCGCTGGCTCTTCGGCTTTGAAATGGAGATGAACACCGCCCCCTAGAGTCGGGAACGACTAGCACATATGTGCGAAGGGAACCTTTACCTTTATATTTAAATTACTCTCTTAATTTCACTCAAAATGAAAAGTTACCAGCCCAAGAAGAGTCAAAATTAGTCCTAATAAAAGACCTTCAAATGCACACGACCAATTTTCCAAATTCGACTGCTTTTAATTGTGCGCAGTTTTGATTCTCTTTCCCCCTAACACACAAACATCGGTCCAAGCTTATAAACTTCACTTATATGTTTACCCTTCCGTATCTCTGCAAAGACATTTTCTTCCAAACCTCCATTGTTTAATTTTCCCCCAATGTCAATTCTTTCCGCTTAATTCCTACAGCAATTTTATGCTCCAGATCAACATCGCTTGATGTGAGTGAGCTCCTTCCCGAGACTTTCCTCATTAAGGTATATCCTAACGTCCCGGGGCACGGTGAAAAAAATACATTTTTTTTTTCCATTTACAAAGATAAGATCGGCCGAAGGGAGGTTGAGTAAAGCATCAGCCGCCTGCTACATTCTTGGCCAAAATTTTTTTTTCAACTTCAGCCTTCCTGATTAAACGGTGAAGCTCTCCAACCTATGCAGGTCTTATCTCAGCTGGGAAAGTTTAAATCCCACAGAAAAAAAAATGAAAAAATGCAGTGATATCACTGGGAACTGAGTTCAGTTAATGGGCTCTGGATCTCATCCAGGGCCTATCTTGTTAGTCTTCCCGTTGATCTGAAGCCCAGCGAAAATGAACCAAGAGCAACAAAAATCATTAGGGGACTTATGAAGAACGGTTGCAGGAACTGGGTATCTCTAATCCAGGGGTCAGCAACCTGCGGCTCTGGAGCCGCATGTGGCTCTTTCACCCCTCTGCTGCGGCTCCCTGTCACTCAAAATATGCGTCACAACCGCCAATGTGCGACACCCGCCGGCACGCGATTTATTGAGCTTTTCAACCCCCAGTAGGCCAACCATGGATAAATGCAAGAAAAGTTTCAGAAGAAAACAGAACGTTTAATTCAACTACATATGCTAGTTTTGTGGCCACTTAAGAAATAGTCAGGCTTGGGAAGGGTTTTTGTGGCTCCCGGTGTTTTCTTTTCTGTGGGAAACGGGTCCAAATGGCTCTTTGTGTGTTTAAGGTTGCAGAGAATGGTGATGAAAAGAAGGACTAGGGGAGACATGATAGCAGTCTTCCAATATTTGTGGGGCTGCCACAAAGAAGAGGGGGGGTCAACCTATTCCCTAAAGCAGTGATGGCGAACCTTTTCGGCACCAAGTGCGCGCACTCGTCTGCGCTGCAACCCGGAAGAGGAGCGGCTCAGGGTGCACGCGCGTGCCCGAAAATAAACTTCCGTTTTTTGCCTGCAGATAGATAGAGAGCAAGCTCTGGTTTTCCTCAGGGGTGGGCTGCTAGGGGTTCGGAAGAACCCCTAGCTAAGATTCTGTGCAGTTCGGAGAACCCCCAAATCCCACTCCTGGCTGGCTTCTCCCACCCTGCCTCGCCCCTCCCAGGAATCCCCACGCGGGCAGTTTTGGTTGCAGGTAAGTGCAGAGCATGTGCAGAGGCTCGGGGAGGGTGAAAAGTTTGGGATTTCTGGCCTCCAGAGGGCCTCTGGAGCCTGGGGAGGCTGTTTTCGCCATCACGAAGGCTCTAGAAAAGCCTCCGGAGCCCGGGGAGGGCAAAAACTCCCCCCCTGCTGCCGTGGTGCAGGAGGCTGACTAGGCCACGCCCACCATGGCCACGCCCACCCAGCAACCGGGCAGAGAACCCCTTGCTAAAATTTTTGAAGCCCACCCCTGGTTTTCCTGCGTCTCTTTTCATCGACATGCATGTCTCATTGTCCTCTCCCCCCTCCCCCTACCTTTGATTCCAGTGAAACAGACCGGATCGGTTTCCCCAGCCGTACCCAAAATAACCGAAAACAAAACCCTCCCGTAATTAGCAAGGGAAGTGCCTCTCCCAGCTGTCTTCGCTCTTTTCCCATCACAAGGCCGACTCGCCCCAGGCCGTGGACTAAATCCGAGCGTGCGCCGCCCGAAAGCGTTCAGGATCAGGTGGCAGGCAGGCAGAAAAACCACCATCTGGGCAGTAGCACCCGCCAGTCCAAATTCACACATGCCCATCTTGAGACACGGCAGATATTCAGGAGATTAATAATCCCAGCTATTTTTTTTTTCCTCCTGGGTTTCATTCAGCAAAGCTGATTCTTATTTTTTTTTTCTCTATTCTTAGTTTTTCTCTCACTTCCCCTGGATTCATTCCATGAAACAGCATTAAAAAAAAGAGGGATCTTGGAGTCCTAGTGGGCAACCATTTAAATAGGAGTCAGCCGTGTGCAGCAGCTGCCAAAAAAGCCAACACAGTTCTAGGCTGCATCAACAGAGGGATAGAATCAAGATCACCTGAAGTGTTAATACCACTTTATAATGCTTTGGTAAGGCCACACCTGGAATATTGCATTCAGTTTTGGTCGCCACGATGTAAAAAAGATGTGGAGACTCTAGAAAGAGTGCAGAGAAGAGCAACAAAGTGGATTAGGGGACTGGAGGCTAAAACATATGAAGAACTGGGTATGTCTAGTTTAATGAAGAGAAGGACTGGGGAGACACGATAGCAGTGTTCCAATATCTCAGGGGCTGCCCCAAAGAAGAGGGAGTCAAGCTATTCTCCAAAGTATCTGAGGGCAGGACAAGAAGCAACGGGTGGAAACTAATCAAGAAGAGAAGCAACTTAGAAATAAGGAGAAATTTCACGACAGTTAGAACAATTAACCAGTGGAACAACTTGCCACCAGAAGCTGTGAATGCTCCAACACTGGAAGTTTTTAAGAAGAGGTTGGATAACCATTTGTCTGAAGTGGTATAAGTTTTCCTGCCTAAGCAGGGGGTTGGACTAGAAGACCTCCAAGGTCCCTTCCAACTCTGTTATTCTATTTCTATTCTAAAAAGCATTCCATTAAACAGCAGAAAAAAAAGATTGTCTTAAAAGCACAGCCCGGCACGCAGAAAACGTGTTGGCAAAATGTGGCTGGCTAGTGAACCTTAGCCAGAATCTGAATGCAAAAAGGGAAATTTTTGGAATTTCCACCTATCTACCCCTGCCCTCCCTTCGCCAGTCGCCCCCATTTCCCCTCCTTTAGTGGCCCTAACCCCACTTCCTCCCCCACCACTGCCTCTTTGTTCGGGCTGCTTAGCTTCCGCGATGGCT